TAAGCAGGAATGGAGAGCGCCAGTGTCCCCGTGAAACAGTGACAGAACTCAGAACGGAGAGACACCAAACAACCCAGCAGTCACAGACAACTTACATATAAGCCTTGCACAGACTCGAAACCAGAACTAGAACTAGTAAACAAGAATCACCAAGACTGTAGAGTAACTCGCCCACAAGCTTAAACCAGTAGATAAGTGCAAAAATCTAGAATCCAGTTTCCATATGTCCCTAAAACTCCAAAAATGTTTATGTGAGCTAAGCATGGTGATGTACACCTTTAACCCCAGCACTTGGGAGGCAGAGGCAGGCAGATGTCCGTGGGTTCAAGACCAGCCTGTTCTGTATAGAAAATTCCAGAACAGCCTAGGCTACATAATGAGACCTATCTCAAAAAAAAATGTAAATTTATATTTTTAAAGTGTTTAAAGAGACAAAGGGGCCAGGAGTTTATGGCCAGTCTTAGTGATATAGTAAGTTTAAGGCTAACCTGGGCTCTATAAGACCTGTCTCTGAAAAAGGCACGGGACGAGGGGTTGTGGGGTGGGGGGTGGTCTATCTGTGACTATAGATCTTCAGCTAAGATCCTGGTGAGAGTGTGTGTTTGAATTAGAGAGCCCTGAATTCACAACCATCTTGAAACAAGCTATCTAACTTTCATAGTCTTTATTTCCTAGAACTAATGAGGGTGGGAAACATGGTTCTTAGATCTGAGTGATTATAAGAACACGTATGACTATGAGATCTTTTCCTGAGCTCTGGATAATGGTTTCCACATGAGTCATGGCTTCAAAAACAAGCCCCCATCCCCTCTTCCACACCAGCGTCTGCTGAGTCAGGCCTCTCATTCCTGTGTGGCTTTAGAAAATCACAGCAGCAGGTGTGGGTGGCCATGATCTCATTCCTACTAGCAACCATAGTGTAACCTTGGGAAAGCAAAGCCCATGGGTTCAAACTCCTATAATCCTGTGCATTTTCTGTGTGAACTCAGCAAGATGCCTGACCCCTCTGAGCCTTGCCTGTAAAGCTTGAGGGTGCTTCCTGCCTCGTGGGGTATAGCAAGATTAGAGAGTGTGTCAGTAGAGCTGATAAGTGCCCAGATGGAGAAGGTAAATAACATATCGCCTTTAAAAACCCTGGCACTCATTGAGAACTTGGGAGGAGTTAGGCAGGGTGAGATCAGGCAGTATAGCCTTGGGTTGGTTCTTGCCACTCAGCTCTGCTGCTGGACCTCACAAACGGTTAGCCTAAGACTTGCTTGCACTGAGTGATCTGTAGAGCCAAATGGGGCATAGGCCTTTTTGCTCTAGACCTGTTCCTCCATTTAGAGGCTGGCCCAACTCCCCATCCTGCCTCTCTTTCCTCAGACCTAGATGGCTAGAGGAAGCTCCTTTCGCTTGGAGGCGATTGACTGCTTGTGACATGAGATTTCAAACACTAGGTGGCAGAATTCCTCCTTAGAGCATCAATCTGTCCTGGCTGCAAAGATGGGACCAAAGCGGACTGGCCTCAATTTGTACCAGAGGCTCCCTGGTGGACATGTGTGCCTGGGATACTGGTCTGAGGCTGAAAAAATGTTCCCAAAGCTGTTTTTGAAAGCTTCTAAGGGGAAATGATGGAGGTGAGAGGTCATGGAGAGTTACTGACTGATGAGAAGACCCCTGGGAAGGATGCAGGGCTTAGGACCCAGTAGGACAAACTAGGGTGGAACCCTAAGATCGAGTCATTGAAGTCATGTTCGAAACCCAGGTCTTCTGGACTTGGTAGTGCATGCTTTTAGTCCTGGCACTGGGGAGGCAGACAGACAGATCTCTATGTGCTTGAGGCCAGCCTGGTCTACATAGCAACTTCTAGACAAGCCAAGACATCTCAAAAAACAAACAAATCAAGAAATAAAGGAAGGAAGGAAAGAAGGGGGCAGGGAGGAGGAAGGAAGGAAGGAAGGAAGGAAGGAAGGAAGGAAGGAAGGAAGGAAGGAAGGAAGGGAGGGAGGGAGGGAGGGAGGGAGGGAGGGAAGGAGAGAGGGAAAGAAAGAAATACAAACCCATGCCCAAAAGTCCATGGTAAGCCAAATATCAGAAGTTTTAAACAAAGACCCGTTCCAACCCCTTGTTGTATGCACTCACCCTCTCAGCCTGCTGGATCCAGCTCTGAGGCAGGAAGGAGGTAGCAGTGTATCTCTGGGCCTCCATTTCCTTGTTTTAGTTGAAGGGTTTTAATGTGTGGAGTGTCTGCTTCCACATTCTCTGGGGTGTGTAGCCTGCTCACAACTTGTGCCCCACTTTTCACCTGCTTTGAGGTCCATCGGAAGCAGCTCCCATGTAACTGTATCTGCGGGTGGGGCACAAGGTGCCTCTGCTGCAGTGCTCCGCTGAAATGTAATCCCTGGGGCCTATTTCAGAAACTCCGCCCAACAGCTCTGACCCTGTTTCAGCCCCTAGACTGTGCTGGGCACTAGAGTACTGTCAGACATTCTTCAGGGAGCTCAGCTCACCTCACAATTGGGGTGTAGACAACAGGCATGGCAGTGGCAAGGGTCAGACAGGACAGGGATGATGCAGCCCTGTGGGGGCTCAGTATACTTTGCAGTGGCAGGGACCCCATAAAAGAGAAAGAAAAAAAAACTTTAATGACCAAGATGGTTCTGAAATGACATTTTGTCAGTGGCAGCCATGGGCAGTTGAAAGCAGTGCCTGAGTCAGGTGACAGTCAGCTGCCCACATCCTGTCTAGAATGTTACTTCTTGAATATTAAAATCAGAGCAAGGCCACTCTGTCCAGTGTATGAGGGCCTTCTGGGCATCAGGATCCTTTTGTGAACCTGGAGCTGTGGGGGTACCTATGACTTTTATGCCTCTTTTGTCTTAAAGCACTGACATTGGTACTCTGGACTGAATAGCTGGGGACTCTGGGGATTCAGTGAGAACAGTGTGTAGCCCCCAGGAGGCAGTAGTCAGTGAGTGCCCCTCTGTCATCTTATAGGCACAGTGAGACAGGGGTGACTCTTGGGTCTACCTAGAGTATGGGAACAGAAAATTGAAGCCACTTTTCACAAGGAGGAGTAGAGACACCACAGGCTATCCCTATATAGGAAAGGGCGCTGAACTGCCATGCCAGCTACAGAGCAGGACCCAGGAGGAGTGGAGGCACCAGCAGGAGGAGTGGAGACAGCACAGGCTATCCCTATATAGGAAAGGGCTCTGAACTGCCCTGTAGGCCATGCCAGCTATAGGGCAAAACCCAGGCACCAGAGCTCATTTTTAAAGGTAGGACAGAGTTGATCAGATGGGCAGGGTTCAAAGGCTTCTGAGGCAGGCGTGAAAGCCAGTAACTCACAGGGCAGGTATCCTGGATATTCACCTTCCAACGTGCAGCTTTGCCATCTGTTTGTCACCTAAACCTGTCAAACACTCTCCTCTCCTAGCTGTATGAGGACCCAGGATGCACTGGGGGCTGTCTTCCAGCCCCCTACTGCCTGCCCCATGCAACCTGCCTCTTGCCGGTCTCTCTCTCTTTCTCTCTTCCAGAATGCCAACCTGGCCCCTTGTGGAGTAGACCCGGATGCCAGCTGGGGCACGCGAGGTACACATAATGGGGACCCCTGTGGGTCTCTGGCTAGGCCAGAATCATGTGTTTACCAGTCTCATTCTGAGACCACCCCTCCGGGACCTGCTGGCAGAAGGCTCTGCACCATGGATGAAGGGTCCCCTGGAGGGGTACCTGATGGCCCTCAGCTCTCTCATCCTATGCTGCAGGGACCTGTCAGGGCTTTTTAGTGCTGTGCATCTCTTGGAGTACAGCAGTTACAAGCAAACAGCTTCTAGGGTCTGAGCTGAACAGTGCAAGTCAAACCCCATTTTTTTCCCTTATCCACTATGTGTCTGCTGACGTGTGTGAGTGGCCAGCTAGTCATGTGACAGGCACTCCGATCAAGGCTGCTCTCGCAGCTCTGAATAGGGCTATATGCACTTGACCATGCTCACTGTGACCCTCTGGAATGCTGGGAGAATCTTGCTCTTACATACCAGTTTGCACACAGAATGGCAGCATCCAGCCTGCTCTTAAAGTGGTTGTCCCAATCTCTAGCCGCGGAGCTGGCACTCCAGAGTCCCTAGTTGGAAATCCAAGGGCCTCATACAGGTATCTTCCTTTATACAGGTATATTCCTTCCAGAATAATTTTGAGGAGCAGATTCTCATGACCCTTCCTGTGTGTATGGAGGCCCTGCCTTCCAAACCGTCTTAGCTTCTTTCTGATACCTTAAATCTAGAGAAAACCCTTGTCAGAAGGAGCAGTACAGAGCTTGGTAGCTTAAAACAGGAAGCGGAGAGTGATGAAGAGGGCCTGGGGTGTGGCTTGGGTGGCAGAGTGCTTGCCTCGCATACCCTGCATTTGATCCCCAAGCACCACATAAACTACATGTGATGGTGCATACTGTAATCCCAGCACTTGGGATGGGAAGACAGGAGAATCAAGAGTTCAAGGTCACCCTCAGCTATATAGTAAGTTCAAGGCTAGTATAAACTCAGTGAGACCTTGTCAAAAAAAAAAAAAGAAAAGACACTAGAGGTAGGGGAGTGTGGTAGAGGGGTGGAAGGGAGCATATTACTAAAGGTATCAGACTCCACAACACCCCTCAGAAAGTTTCCCTGGAGAACCCATTGCATGTCTGGGTAAACTAAGACTGATGTCTTTCTCAGAGTAGCCTTGAACACCATCAGGAAAGACATCTCCCAGCCTAGGAGCACAGTGCCGCTACACAGCTTCCAGTGTGGCCTGCAGCCTCCTGGCCATGCCTCCTGCTCTCTGTTTGATGTGGGAGACCCTTGAAATCTCTTAAAATCCAAGGCCAAAGTCCCATGAAGGCTGCTCAGGGTCCCAGAGACCAAGCATGGCCCATCTGACTGGGGGTGGGAGTTGCCCAGGAAGAGGATTGCTCTCATCCTGGGCATGGATTCTTTTGTTCCTAAGCTAGCCGTGTGGTTTCTGCTCTTCTCTTACAGAGTATAAGGTAAGGGACCATCTTCACTAACTGACGTCTCCCACCGTGCTGCACCCAACCAGGTTAAACAATTCTTTTCTTGTGTTTTCTCTATGAAATGTGCATGTCCACAGCTCACACAAGTATGTATCTGGGTTTGCCTTTCGGTCGGCTCAGCTCACTTGCCTCTCAAGGTAACCCTGTGGTGTCTTTCCTGCAGATATATCCCTATGATTCCCTCATCGTAACAAACCGAATTCGTGTGAAACTGCCCAAAGACGTGGACCGTACACGGCTGGAGGTAAGGCAAGATGGGGAGGTATCTACTGAGACTCCACAGATCTCAGCCACAAGATCAGGTTCCCCACACACATACCAGGAAGGGGTGCTGCTGTGGTGTCAGCACAGGGCTCAGAACTCAGGACTCAGGAATCCTCAAAGGCAAAGGAACTCTGTTGGCTTTGCAGAGGGGTAGGAAGTCTGGGTTGCGTAGTACATTGAGGAGCCCATGGTGGTCTCATGTCATGTGTTGCTGTGAAAAGGGGGGCCAGCTTGGAGGAGAAACTTCCTGGTTCTGCTGATCTAGAACAGAGAGTTCATCTGAGGAAAACAAGTGTGCATCTGAAAAGTCCGTGCAGCTGCAGCAGGGAAGTGTTTGGAAGCTCACTCTGGCCAGGGGAGCACTTTGCTGAGCTCTCACTCCATGTCCAGGCTAGAGTGCCCTTTGCCAAGGCCTCCAGTTCCTTCAGAACCACCCAGCAGTCAGCAACATTGGGGGGGGGATTCCCTTCTTGGACCTCACGAAGAGGTACTGTCTGCCTCTTGCTGTGGTAAGGGCATTTTCAGGCTCTTTTGGGCAGAGGCTACCTTCCGCCTATGCCTCAGGCAAGTACTGAACCCTGTATTACCGTCTCATGGGGCAGTGGCTTCATGTGTAGCCAGGAACAAGAGAAATAGGCATAGCCAAGGGGCCCCAGTAGGGCCAGGGCTTTGGAGGATTGGCAAAGCAGAGACCCAGTACATTCACAAAGAGGTGGCCTCTGAGGGGGGACAGATAAGCCTGGCAGGGTCCTGTGCTTGGATACAGAGAGTATGCTCAGGCTGGTCCAAAAGCCAGTCAGGGCTTTCACAGGCAACAGAACAGTGTGAGTGAGGCATCCTTTCAGATCCTGTGGGATGTGACCCTGGCAGGGATGGTAGGATAGCAGAGTAATGGCTTTCCCAGGCTGCCGAGTCACGTGTGCTTGAGCCTTCATCTACTTAGGATGAGAACCCAGAGCTGCATGAGAGAGTGGTTGTGCAGTCAGAGGTCATATGAAGTCCAGTCCCTCTGTACAGGGAAATGACAGCAAAAAGATGAGGTGACTGTGGCTGGTGCATGAGGAGATGGCACTTCTTAGACCCATAGTGACTTACACTGGAAATCAATGAATTCACATGACTGAAGTTCCCTTCACATGGCTGGATCTAAGCAGGACTAAGCAGTATTTCACAAAACCCAGCAGCTGAGTTTCCTCTCTACTGGCTCTAGGGAGACACCTTCTCCCCTCCTGAGCTCAAGGTCTCTGGGGGAGAAAGCCATCTCTCTTGTCTGTCTTTGTACAACCCGCACGGAGGCCTCTGGGTAGTCAACCAGCCCCTACCCCTAAAGCAACCAGTTCTACCCAGGGCAATCAATGTCCTGAGCAGCCAGTTTTACCTGGAGCTAAGTCGTCTGCTGGCGCCACTTGAGCTGGAGATACCCAGGTCGTGCCTGGAAGAAACTGAGACCTGCCATCTGAGATGGAAAGAGACCTGCTGGGTAACAGGCAGGTGGCAAGTGTCCAGCCAGGGAGGGTCATGGAGGGGACAGTACCGCAGAACAAAGCACAGCAGGATCATAAACAAGTAGTCACTCAATGCAGCCAGTCCACGTGGCGCATACCTGTGGCACCAGACAAGGATCCACGTAGTCAGAGCTATGGTTGGCATGATGCTTGGAGCTCACTCACTGCAAGTGAGGAAAGGTCAATGGGGCATTCGTGTGTATTTCGATGTGTGTATCATTTGTGGGAAGGACCAGCAGCTGGACTGGCTCAGAAGCTGTGTGAGACTGGCAGGGTAGGGGAACTGCAGGCCACTCGGGGATAGGACTCTCCCTGTGGCCTTAAGAGACTGGGCCTCAGGAGTCCTTTGCCTGAGTGTCAAATGTGACATTGGCCTTCTCTGCAGGTGACAGCAGCATCATTGGCCCACAGTGAGAAGTCTTGGCCTCTGACTGAACCTGGGCTTGTAAATGGTGGGGTACATCCAAGCCCACTGCTGCTGTATAGAGGGGGGCACTGCTGACCATCGGCAGCTCATTGGTCCAGATGACCTAGAGGGTTCCAGTTTGCTGTGATTTGGATCTTTAAAAAGCATGGTGCCCTGATGGGTTACTGAGGATTCCTGGACTAACATGCTCCACCCTGAGATGCTGCTCAGAGCTCAGATGACATCAGTAGCAACTCCCGCAGCTCCCTGAGAGCCTCTTGGGGCTCCCTGCTTTCCTTTGGAGCTGGGGTGTGTCTCAAGTGACTTTTGCTTTGCTTGTGAATGTGTCTGACGAAGCCAGCTAGAGTCTTTGAGGGGGTTTCACATCCAGGTGACCACACCCAAGAGTGTGACTGTCACTATTCTCCTTCAAGCTCAGCAGCCCCAGGAGGTGGACCAGTTACCACAGGTTGGACATATCCTTTCTTCCTTATCAGCTTGGGGACAGGGATTTGGTCCTGGAGGAGTGGGGTGGGGCTTTCTTGGAGGAGCAGACACCACCCCCCATTTCCCCAACCCTATGTTTGCGTCATGGGAGAGAACTCTACTTTTATAGTGAAACCAATTTATAGCTTGTAAAAATCCAGAGAGCCACAAAGAGGAACGGGAAGGGGGAAAGCCTTCTGGAAGTCCTCAGTGCCATGTCTTCAGGTGGACAACCTTTCACAAATCTCTCTTATAGCAACCAAGTTGTCTTTTGGATAAGGAGAGCTCACTGTATACTCGACACAACACCCACTCTCCCCCTGAGCTATACCACAGGCCCTTTCTGTGCCAAGTTATCGTATTCTGCCCCTATCTTGCCAGGTAGCCACAGGCAGGCTGGCTTCCTGCAGGTCCTGAGGACAAGATTGCCAATCACAGGCTCATTGGCTGAACTTGTCACACGGCATCACTTACCGCAAGGCAAGCTGGGAAGTGAAGTTAGTCCCGGGCAGGAAGAGACTGTAGGTGTGGTGGCAGCTGATGGTGTCCTCTGTAGCCAGCAGAGTTTGTCTCCTGACTGCTGATTATTATCAACACTCAATGTCAGAGTTCTCAGCCAAGTGCCCCAGTCACTTATAGACACGGGTACTGACTGGGACTCCAAGGAGGTCTTTGAGAAAAAAACAGACATGAGTTCTGCCCTGGTAGAATGAGTCCGATATGAGAGAGGCGTCCATCAACTGATTATTCAAATGAGTATGTATAACCATGTGTCAGCATTAGTGTTCTGTTCTGAAGGACAGGAACCTTGGCTTCTTGTTTCAAATGAGTGGATGATAATGGCGTAGGAAGCATGCTTGTGTGTGTGTGTGTGTGTGTGTGTGTGTGCGCCTGAGTCTACAAGGGTTTGATAGAAGACCACATGTGCCAAGGCCAGGGAGCAGAAGGGAACTCGAGCTATTTGAGGAAGGAGACCCAGAAGGAATCTATGAGACTGGACCTGAGCAGGTAGAGGGAGGGATAGCACAGGGCCCTGGGATGTGCTAAGCAGCTTAGTGTTTAGCCTGGTGACAGTGACACCTAAGGTAAGTTTGCAGTTTACAACATGCCCTGTGGCCCAGCCTAGCAGCAGCTAAAGGTACCACACAGGGCCCAGTTTGGCACCGTGTGTGATGAAGGCCAGTGACATGTGTTCTGTCGTGAAGATCCTCTCTGAGTGCACAGGAAGTTGGGTGCATCACACATTTCCATACATGGAGCAAAAAGGCCAGGTCTCCGTCTTCTGATGAGGAGTTCCGGGTGCTGGAAGATCTAAATCTCTGTCCTTGGTCATAATACACCAAGTGCCTCCTTCCCAGAGAAACCCAGGCCCCTGTGTGTCCTGAGTGCTTGAATTCTGAGGGTCTTCTGGGCCCCAAGTTCCTAGTTCAAAGGATGTGAACTCTGTTGCCCCTCATGAAATGACATGTCCTAATCTGAGCCATTCCTTGCATGCCTTGCCCTGTGCCCATTGAAACTGGCATCGTCTTGCTTCCAAGATTGTCTTTTGCCATCCCTGATGGTGTCATGGGAGGGGCTGAGCACTGGAGTAGTGAGAGCTGATGTGAATCCAGTCTCTGCAATGTCTACCCGTGTGGCTGTGGACAAGTAACCATTCTGGGCCTGGCCTCTCTCACCTGTCAGGTGACAAGGGCTGCACCTGTCCCCTGGACAGTTGCATGGATTTAAATAGAGGCTCAGGAATGCTTAATTGAGCACCTATAGTGTTAAGCAGCAGGTGGACACCTGTATACATCCCATCCACCAACCTGAGTGATAGCCCTTCAGATACTGAGCTTCCCATGGAGAGGGGCCCAAAATGATGATTGCTGGAAACAGGGACAGTCAATATTACCATTTACAAGGATGCAGAACAGTGACATCAGCAGTGGGAGAAAAGTGCTTTTGTAGTGCCCTGTGTGACAGCTGGAGCATGGCTGAGAGGCACGTAGTGCTGCTGTTCCTCCTGTGTGCCTGGCTCCAGTTTGAGCATGTGGAACATTTAACACTTCTTCCACAACTCCATGAGGCATCCAGATGGCTTCCAGGGCCCCCGTTTCCCAAGAGGCAGATATGGGATTCAGTACTCAGAGCCGCTCAGCTAACCTGCCTTCTAGATCAATTACAATATGGAGATGAATTACCAAAGGAACATGTCTTTTCAATTGCTTTTCTCATATATTTTCTTGCGACTATGAAAACGGACACACAGACCTTAGAAACATGCATTCATGTTCCTAACCCTGGGACTGGTATTTCTGAAATGAGGTGACTCAAGAGGCTAAGGTCTGAGACAGGCCTTCTCCTTTGCTTCTTACGGCCTTCAACCCCTTGACTGAGGCCCACCCAAATTTTTTAGTGTAATCATTTTCTCATAGACAGTTATTGATGATAACCATTCCCACAAAACACCTTTGTGGCAGCATATAACCAGTGTTTGACCAAAGCTCCAGCCCCAGGGCTTAGAAGAATTAGTATTTCCAAAGTAGATATCAAGAAAGGTGGGTGAGGTGCTGGAGAGGCTCCTGTCTGCAGGAGGCTTTGGTGTGTGTTACTCAAAGGTGGTGGCTCCTGGGTTGGGGCTCTGAGCTCTTCCTAGGGGTCACCAGGATCGGTGGACTCGGAAAAGGCTGCTGCAGAGGGCATGTTATTTTCCTGGGGTCTGTACACTCCCTGAGGCTAGTTGTATGTATGTGTGTTTGCTGGCATAGTAAGTCCAAGGGGACTGCATCTGGGAAGTGAGGATCTCAAAGTTCAAGTGTCCTTTCTCTGCTCAAACTTGTCCAGCCAGTATTACGAGGATAGAGCACCCTGGCCCCTGATGACAATAGGTGACCATAAGAGGTTTAGAGCCCCCCCCACCCCATTCACAGGACGGTCTTGATCCAGGTGGAAAAGCACTGGCGTGCTGTGGGGCAGGAGGACCAATAGAACTGGGGAGGGGTCTCGTGTCTGCCAGCTGGTGGGAAGCTCTCTGTGGAGCTGCAGTGGGCAGAGGCTGGTGGCCAAAGGGGTCTAAATGACCACAGCTACCCACGTGGTCCCTGAGGAAGGAAGGGAGAACAGCATGACTGCCTGTCCTTCTGGAGCAGTCATCCAGCTCAGTTGGAATTCAGTTCAGAGGACTTGGTGTGGCCTTGGGGGCCTCTTGGGTACCAAACCCCAGGCACCCTCACCTCTGGGAGAGATAACATTTGAGTCAGGGTCTATGTTGCTGGTGATGCAGGGGGAAGGGTTCTACCTAGGACTTCTACCATGCAACCATGTTCCCCAGGAGTGGGACTCTCACTCTTCAGAAAGGCACCATGTTGGGCTTTCTTCCTATGGAAGAAGCTTGAAGCTCTTAGCCTTGGCTAGTACCTGAGGAGCCAGAGGGTAGGGAACAGCTGAGCTCAAACAGCTATGTGGGCCCCTGTGGTCAGCCACACTCCAAAGGTCTTCCTGCTTGGGATGACACCTGGGGATCTAGAGGCCCTTCCTACCAGAAGACACTAACAGATCCTCTGCCAACCAATGGCTCCTCTGACCCTTGCTCACTCTCTGGAACTGAACAGAACTGGGACAGTCAAGTCCTGTCCCCCTCCTCGATGAACAAATCTGTCAGGAGCTGGGGGCTGGGGATGGGGCGGAGATGGGGTCACTGGCCTCAGGTCTTTTCCTGTCAGAAGTTCTGCTACCCCACCACCTCAATCAATGGACCTTCTCAATACCAGCCGTTACATTGCCTGTGTGTTCCCCCACACCCAGCTCTTGTTTGCTTTTCTCTCTCAACCATTATGACAACCTTTAATTTAACGCTGTTGCTTTCAAGTTGTGCAAACTGTACTCTTTTATTTGCCCTCCCATATCGATCACTAATTAAGAAAATGCCTTTAGCCCGATCTCATGGAGTCATTTTCTTGATTGGGGTCCCCTCCTCTCAGATGACTTTTTTAACATGTGTCAAGTTGACATAAAGCCATCTAGCACACCACTCTTTCTTTTTCTCAGCTGAGAGACAAGAATTAAGCACAGTAGACCTTCTGAGCAGTCTCTGTCACTGTTTGAGTTTGATAAACGAGGCAGCCTGAAGGAGTCTACAGAAGGCCCCAGGTGGGCAGGAGTCCTGTCGAGGGACACGGTTATTGAACTGAGCCATAGGGAAGTTTTGTCAGTGAGAGTCAGGAGTGGAGGGTGCTGAGGTAGCTCCACGGCTGTCCCTGTGTCCACACCAAGGCTCTGTCCTCCAGGTTTGTCTCTCTCACTGGAAAGAGGCCCTGGGCATGCCAACGAGGTGGCTTATCCTCAGTCCTGAGTCAGCGGAGAGCCACCAAGAGAAGACATGTTGCTGCAAAACTGTCAGCAGATTTCTAGGGCAAAAGGCCCAGAGCCTGAAGTCATAGTAGACCAGGCTTGGCTACTGGCTCTCGTACGACTGTTCAGTGGTGGAATGAGACAAAGGTCAATTTGCAGCTGCCTTGGGAAGATGGAAAGCAAGCATTCCAGCATTAATTCTGGCATTAATGTGAGCTTTAGCTGCAGAGAGAGGAAGTGCTGGGCCATGTTGAGAGGGGCGCAGAGTTACTGAGTCCCAGCCCAGGTCTTGCCTGGTTGGTCACTGTGTCACCTCTAGTTCTTTGAGGTGATCAAAAATCCTTATCACTCAAGACAAGAAGGTTCCCATGAGGCAGCATTGGGGGTGGGGGAGAGTGTGATTTTATGATGTGTATCTGTGAATCCAAGGTGACTGCAGGTTGAGAACAAGGACTGGGGACATTCAGGCTCCTTTTCTGTCTGGAGTGGGACACTGTAAATATTGACCAAGAAGCCTTGCTTTCATCTTTGCACTGGTTAGCCTCAAAGGGACAGAGATATCCATTTGTGGTTAAGCCTATATACATAGTTAAGTAGAACTGTACCCAAGGGGCAGACACAAAGTACAGGTAGAGGTGCCAGGCATTACGACAGGGACCCAGTTGGGGAGCCAGTGTTTCTCAGAGCAAAGACAGCTTCTCAGGCCCTGTTTCAAATGACACTCACTGTCTCTCATTTTTTTTTCCCTTGTCTGAAGAGACACCTATCACCTGAGGAGTTCCAAGAAGTGTTTGGGATGAGTATCGAGGAGTTTGACCGCCTGGCCCTGTGGAAGAGGAATGACCTCAAGAAGAAAGCCTTGCTGTTCTGACAGCTGCCAATGTCTTACCAGGAGCCTGCTGGGGGGGCAGGGCTGGAGGACCCCACTGCCCCCCTAAATCCCCTCCTGCACCTTGCTCTACTTCTCTGTGTCGGTGGGGCAGGCAGGGTACCTGCAGGAGGCAGGGTGGGGCCAGGCCCTGAGGAGCATCCAGCAGGCATGGTCCCTTGTGTAGCAAGGATGCTCCCGCCTGTAGTTTAGGGCCAGGTGCCAGCTTGACCCGCTCCTTCCCGCCACAACTGGGCATCAGGGCAGTGTTGCAGCCAGCTATCCTAGGAGATGGGGAAGAGCATTCAGCCAGCCCAGCACCTTCCCAGGGCACCTGGTGTGTCCACACCAGTGCTAGGCACTGGGGCACAGAGTGTCTAGGACGTGAGTGAAAGGCTTGTCAGTGGCAGACCCTGACACAGCAGTAATGGTAAGTGTGAGGCTCCTCAGAGCATAAGGAGATATCAAGCAGACTGGCAAGCTGAGGCAGGGGAGCCAGGCCAATGTCTGAGAGGCAGTGGGACTGTGGTTTTTTGTGGTTATTGTGGTGGATCTTTTCTGGGGAATGAATGTCGACCTGACAGGGTGCCCCCCGCTAGTGCTCTGTGTACTGTGCCCTTCTTCCAGATTACCCCCTTAGTTGCCTAAATGATATCTTTCAAGTTACACAGAAGTTTTTATTTTATTAAAAAGTATCGCTTCCTTACACATAAGAAGACATATATGCAGAGTTTAGTTTTACGGTCCCTGAGAAGGGGAGCGCCTCCGCCTTACACCCCCACCATGCAGGCCTCTGTGCTTCCAGTCCTTGGTGTTCCTCACAGACAGGAACTGGTCTGTTTCCCTTCATCCTTGCTCCTATGTATGTGTCACACAGACAGCCTCAAAGACAGCAGTGCCGTTTGTAAATACATGTGAAATGTATCCATCTCCTTTTCCCTCTCTGTTGGTTTTCTTCCCCCCAAATCACAAAGAGAAGAGCGCCCCCTGATGGCCAAAGCCCTAGAATAAAGGTTTCCCCACTATGGCCTAGTCTCACATAAACCTGACCAGTCTTCCTGGTAAAGTCACTCACTGTAGCCCCCAACACACAAAACATGCATGTCCAGGAAGCATGCTGTCATGTGACACAGACACTGAATGCAGCGGCAGAGATGGACAGCTAGAGGTGGTGCCTCCTCCCATCTGGGTGTTCAGAAGTGGGGGCTAACTGGGGCCCTGGCAACAGGTATGGAAGAGCACCCCTGTTGCAGGATGGGTAGACACTGTGGTCCTGGGTGACTCTAGCTGTCTCCTCCTCTGGGTTGTCCTCACTCCCTCACATCCAGGGACATTTCGAGTCTCATTTTGTGTTGGGGTTCTCACCAGCCTGGCTGGGCTGTGGAGGGGAACTTTTGGTACTTAATCTGCTTCCGGCCACTTAGCAGTCTGGACCTGCGCAACTGGAAACCCCCACCTCCTCATTCACGAGGTGTCATGTCATATCTGATCCCTGGGACACCTGGGAAAATAAATGGTGACACACTGTAACTTGTGAAAGGACAAAATGTGTTCAAGCATGCTTGGTTTTGGAGGCACGGGCAGGGTGTGCGCATGGAACAGGCCAGGCCACTGGGGAGAGACTCTTGCCCCATCGAGAGGTAGCCATGAGGGTTGGAGCCTTGGCTTGGTCAGCCTTAGAGAACCAACAGCTGGCATCTGCCTACTTTAGGCAGGATGAGGGAGCTAACCTCTGCTCTGTGGTAAAGACTAAAGGGTCCCCCAATGCACCCCAGATATTAGGGAATGCTTTCTAGAGGTGCCCAGGATTGGTCTTGAAAGATGGTCTCAACACAGCAGGGCATCCCAGGCTGATGGAACAGTGAAGTGAAGAACAGCCTTGTATGTTCTGGAAGCTTTGCTGTCTGGAAATGGCTGAGTGTGGGGCTGGAGAAAGGGCTGAAAAGAAAGAAAAGGCCAGCAGGGAAGGACTGATGGCATCCTGGATTAAATGTGTGACACTCTCTAATCTTATACCAGTAACTGGCAATTCTGCTGAACTCAGCACATGCTCTGTGCCTGCTGACCTGGTGCATTCTGGGTTCTTTCCCTCCCTGAGTCTTGACAATTCCATCGTCCACCTTCCAAGTATCATCTCTCTTTCCTTAGGCACTGCTATTGCCAGGTAAGCAAAGGACAGAAGGTGGCAGTGTGACAAGGAATCCTGTGTGCAGGTGCAAGGTTTTCTGTTGTAGGCATTGTGGTCCAGGCCACACTCACTGCTCACAGCTCATTTCCCAAGTGCCCTATTGTTACCCAACAGCAATCCAATTGTGCCAAACTGCTAGCAACCTTGAGCCATGGCTCCAGCCTCAGTGTCCCTGATCATCTTGATCCCTACCAGGCAGCTGAATGTCACAACCCCTATTCTGTCCATCCTTCATACTCTGGGCAGCATGACCTTGGCTTGCACACAGGTTTCCCTCCTAGGTGGGCCCTGCTCCCTAAGTGTTTTCATCATATTCCTGGTGTATCCCACAGTTGTGTGTGTGTTGGGGTGAGTGTTTGTGAATGCACAGGTACATTTGATTGTAGAGATCAGTGGTTGGCATCAGTGTCTTCCTTGATTACTCTCTACCTTATTTTTAAATATAGTACTTATTATTATAACACACACACACACACTTATATAATATTCTCCCTGTTGTCCTATTGTGTCTTTCCCTTCCTGCCAAATCCATGCTTTCAAGTCTTTCTTAATAGAACATTTTTTTGTGTGTGTTTGTGGGAGGTACACATGCTATAGTGCACGTGTGGAGATCAAAGGACAACTTGGGCAAGTTGTCTTCTTCCAACATGGCTTCTTTGGGATTGGGCTCAGGAGTGGCAAGTGCTCTTACCAGTTGAACTGTCTTTCTGGCTCTACTTTAAGTCTCTTTGTGTGTGTGCCCTATTGCATTTAATTATTGCTGCTTGCATTACCCTCTGTATTGATGTGTGTGTGTGTGTGTGTGTGTGTGTGTGTGTGTGTGTGTATGTGTATTTACTTGAGAGAAACTTGCCAATGGCTATACCACTAAGGAAGATGACCCTCCCCTAGAAACCATTAACTTCCTCTAGCTACTCAGGGAGGGGTGGGGCATTAAGAACACCTCCCAATCCATGCTGGAATCACAAGACTTCTCTAAATCAGCCCGTGCTGCCATGAGCCTGTGGGTGCAGCAGCCACACGTCCAGAGGACAGTGTTTCTTACCACTCCTCCTTATCCTATGGCTCTTACATTCTTTCTGCTTTCTCCTCCACAGTTTCCCCGGAGCCTTAGAGGAGGTGATATTGATGTCCGTTTATGGCTGAGCACTCAACAGTCACTTATTCTTAGTGCTTCCGACAGTTTTGAGTCTATGTGTTAATGGTAACACACCACAAAGATCTCTGATGCAGGCTGAGAGCTGCCACCAATCCATGGGTATAACCAAAACTATTTGGACGGCAGCTTGAGGCTTTGCACAAAGCAGCAGTAGCAGAATCTCTTAGGATCTGTGAACTCCCCAGGCAGGGGCTCCTGATCAGGTTTATAGTACCAAGCCTGAGTTCTCTACCTTATTTCTTTGAGACAGGATCTCTCCCTAGGACCTGGGGCTCACTGCTTAGGCTGGCCGATGAGCACTGGGGGGTCCTCCTGTGTCTGCCTTCCAGTGCTGGGGTTACAGCATATTGCCATTCCTGGATTTTTTGTGGATGCTGGGGATGACACATGGGTCTTCATTTTTGCAGAGCAATTGCTTTTTGGAGTTCCCACCCTTCTGGAGGCTCTTCATTAGTTCACTGACTGTATCCCTCTATCCAGCTCTAAGCCGACAGGGCATCACTAGCCCGACACGCACAACTGTCCTAGAGTGTTTTATGACCGGGTTGGCACCCAATGGCATCCTGTACCCACTCCAAAATGTCCCAAGGAGTGGTGCTCCTAGACTAGCATGGTCCCCAATGCCCTGTGTGATGATGGGACTGTTCTAGAGCCATGCTATCTGCCCTGCTACCTACCAATATGAAACATGACCACTGTGTCTGAGTTTACGTGTCAAACAGTATGAAGCTAAGTAGCCATGTGTGTGTGTGGCTGGTGGGTGGGCAGCCCCAGAGGATTTAGAATTGCTACTGCCCTCACTTGGGACAGGCTCCTGCCATTCTTGTTTAGCAGAAAGCATTTGCACTGCTGGTCCTTTGACAGGATCCATAGTGTACCTGCTGAGCATCCTCATCTGGTCCAGATATGAGGAGATGTGGTGAGGCCCTCATCCTTTAGTGATGGTGACATCTGAACTCTGGGTTCATCCCAAGCATCCTCTTATAATGCAGCTAGACCTGTGATGTCAGGCAGCAGGATCAGAAAAATGTTCAGGGCCAGCCTGGGCTCTATGAGCCCCTATCTTCCACTAAAGACAAAACAAGAGCATACCAATACTTGTTCCATAACAGTTGGCAGACTATAATCCCATGAACTCTGCTTATCAGTAAGCATAGCATAGAGGACTTCCTCCCCACTAGCAAAAATACATCACTGTCGCAGATCCTAGAGGAGATATTTACCGGGTGTCCCAGTAATTTAGTCCCAACATTGTTCCATGGACTGAGGGCTCTGTCTAATACCAATGGCAACTCCACCTGGTTTTTCTTTGTCATGTGGTTCCTTAAGTCCTGAGATGACCCCAGACCCAAAGGACATCAAGCATCTCTGAGACCTACAGCTGTGCTTCTGTCCAGTGGATCTTGGTCTTGTCTTCTGGTCTTGACTCTAGCCTCATCCTTCCTTGCCTCCTCCCAAGGCTGCTGACCCTACCTGCACTCAGCCTCTCCAGCAGTGCTCCCATCCCTCTGTTTCGGCCTCTGGGAGCTGCTCTGGGCCAGCCCTGCTCCCAGCTTGGGCCAGTTCTACTTGCCTTTCAGGCTCCTGACTCCCTTCAGAGGTAAAGGAAGCCAGATCAAACTCATTCAGATTCAGACAAATTACACCAGCTGTGGATCCTTCCAGAAGCTAGGCCTCTCCTCCCAAAGCAGACAAAATTTTGGGGCTAGGCAATCTGTCCCCCTGTTCCATTCAAGAGCTAAATGGGGTTGTCTGGTTCAGTCACAGCTGGGAGACCCATTCCAAGCACAGGGCCACCTCTGACCAAAGGAGTGGGAGGTTGGTGCTTCCCTGAGCACTCATGGCTGAGCTGGGCTTCAGGAATGACAGTGGCTACTTCTTCTCTTTACACTGAAGTTCTGCTAATGCTCCTCAGATTGAGTGTATGTGTGGGTGTATGGAGGTCAGAGGTCAACTTTGGAAGTCATTATTTGATTTTTCTGAAAAAAAAAGATTCACTCACTTTTTTTGTGCTGGTGTTTTGCCTGTAGCACGTGCGGGCCTGGAGCCTTTGGAGGTCAGAAGAGGCAATGATCACATGGAACTAGAGTTACAGACAGTGGTGGACTGTTGTGTGGGTTCTGGGAACCAAACTTGGGTCTTCTGCAAGAGCAAGCAACCAGTGTTCTTCACCACTGTACTGTCTCTCTGCAGCCTTGCCATTTCCTGGTTGTTGTTGAGACAAGGTCTCTTATTTTCCTGTGGCTCACTGATTAGGCTAGGTTGGCTGGCAGGTGAACTCTGGGAATCCTTCTGCTTTTGCTTTCTCTGTATTGGGATTACAAGTAAGATATATCTCATAAGTGTCTATAGACCATGTGGTATTAGCTATGTACTGTGGGGAAAGCTTTTTTATGTGTGCATCTTTGCAGATGCCCACGGAGGCCAGAAGGGGGCGTTGGATCCCTTGGAGCTGGAGCAGTGGTTCTCAACCCCTTTGTGGGCCACATATTAGAAATTCTGCATATCAGATATGTACATCATGATTCATAACCATACAAAAATTACAGTTATGGAATAACAATGAAATGATTTTATGGTTGGGGGTCACTACAACATCAGGAACTATATTAAAGGGTCACAGCATTAGGAAGATTGAGAACCACTGAGCTGGAATTACAGGTCTTTGTAAGCTGCCTCACCTGAACTCTGAACTCTGATCCTCTGATAGAACGGTAAGCATTCTTAACAACTGAGCCATCTCTTCAGCCCCTGGGGGATCATTAAACTCTAAAAACTGGAAGTGGAATTGTATAAATGAGCACAGCATACACATATTGCTTGAATTAGACAAGTAACCATTTGTCGCATTGTGCCGGGGAGCAGTGAAGCATGATGTCATGGTTTTGCTGGCATTCACAGGAGTCCTGGTGGATTTGGGGGTGGATCATGTGAAATGTAATTAGAGAAAAACACTATGCCCATTGCATTGGGATTTGAAAAGAATCAGAACCTACAATGCTATCTTCCAGCCACTAAGCTGGAAGGGCTCAGCTGTTAAGAACAGTGGCTGCTCTTCCAGAGCTTCTGAATGAAATTCTCAGCAGCCACATCCTGGCTCACAACCATTGGTAATGGAATCTGATGCCCTCTCCTGTCATGCAGGTGTACAAGCAAACATAGCACTGACATACTTAAATTAACAAGTGTTAACAACAAATACAAGAGACACTAAGCTGTGCCTGGTGGCTTACACCTCTGTCATCTCTAATCTTGGATTTGGGGAGCCTGGGGCAGACGGACTGGGAATTCAGGGTCATCCCTAGTAAATACAGAGTCCAAAGTCAGTTGAGAACCTATTTAAAACAAGAACAAAAACAAACAAAAAAAAAAACCCCAAAAACAAAATTGTGTTGGCCAAACCCAGCATACAAAAGGCTGAGGCAGGAGGATAATGAGCCATCCTTTACTTCCTTTCCTCTCTGTGTAAACGTGTGTGCGTGCACGCAAACACACATGCACATGAATGCACACACGTGCACACACTGGGCAGCAGATCTAATAGCGTTGCAGCTTGGAGGAGTCATGGGACTCAAGCTGGGACGTGCCCTCTGTTTCTGGCGCTCTCCTCCTCTCTACCTTTCATATAAGGGTCAAAGTCACCAAACACGGACTGACGCGTGGTGTGGCCATCGTTCAGGGTAGGTGTTGGGGGAACAGCCACAAGCAAACTACTAGTTAGCACATGCATTTATGTTTCTATCCAGAAGCATAGCTCACCCACCAATGCAGATCAACCTTGGCCAAACAGGTGTGAGAAAGAGGAAGGATGGAAACCGTAACTGAAATAATTGTGATCCTCAGAGAAGCCAAGGCACATGCGTGGGATGGGCCTCAGAGGTCTTCTGGTCCCTTGCTCAGGTTCTCAGGAGGAAGCCTGAGTATGAGGGAGGAGGAGGTGACCTGATCTCAGAGCCAGGAAAGAGATTAATGTCCTCCCCTCTCAGTGCAGCAAAGCCCCAAGTCTGTGCAGAGGGCTCAAAAATAAATAAGTAAAGGTAGTTTTCATGAGTTGTGATTCATTTTAGAAAGAAATATCTGCAATTATGTTTGGAGCCTGGGGCACTGTCCACATCTACATTCGATTGCTGTGGAGCGAGCAGGCCAGAAATCTATGTGAGATGCCAAAAGGGTCTGTCATCTTAGAAAAAAAAACAATTCTAAAACTTGGATTGAATTGCTTGAGCTTCAGATAAAATAGTGTATGATGCTCTGGAGGACTCCTGTGTAGCCAGCCCCCTTCAACTCCACCCGGAACCTGTTATCCCAAATCCTTCCTGGACCCCAGTCTGTTCATATGAAATGGGCCTGAGGCCACTGGATGACAGCTCTGGATGAAAGCCTGACATGGTAACACAGGTTGGAGTGACTGCCCTTTAGAAACTTCTGTTCTTAAAATGTTCAGGGCCATAATAGCTGCCTCTCCTGTCCTCGCGTCACCTGCCCTCCTCTCCCCTCTTCCTCGACTCACTTTATTTTCCTCATTCCCTGACTTTTCCCAAACACAGCTGCTCTCATTTTTGAGCAAAGTCACTCACCATTCTGCTTCTGTGTCCCAGCACTGGTTCTTACAGCAGGATGGTTTTCCAGATTGTCTTAGTTCGTTTTCTGTTGTACTGATAAAAGACTCGGATAAAAGCAATTTAAGAAAGAAAGGATTCTTTTGGGCCACAGCCCATGATTGTGAGGAAGTCACAGTGTCAGGAGCTGGAGGCTGCTGGTCATACCACATTCACCTTCAGGAAGCTGAGGCCAATGTACCTCTGTTCTCAGCCAGCTGTCTCCTTTTTATACAGACCAGGACCTGAGCCCAGTGACTGGTGCTACCCACCTTCAGTGTTAGTCTTCCTACCTCAACGAAATCTAGGTAACTGCTCTGTACATGCACGTCCAGAGATGAGGTAATCCTTCACAGGCTGTCCCATCAAGTTGAGAATTAACACTAACCACCACACCAACCAAACCCATCTCCAAGGATAGCTCTTCTCTCATAACGGACTGTACCAAGAGGCCCCAGTGCCTTTGCAGCAGATGATCTGCTGGCTCGGGGATTCGGACAGGAGGACTGAGGCTCTGCCTGGACTCCAGTGTGCACTGAAGCGGCTCACCGAGGAGGAGCAGGCTGGCCTGTCTCTGGAAGTAAGTGGTTTGTAATTTTTGAGCAGTCCAACTGAGGTCTGGTGGAGGTCACTGCTGGCTGGATTGGATCCTGAAGTGATTATGTATGTGGATGGGGCTTCTGTTGAGGGTATCCATGCCAAGAGAAGGATGCTGTCTCTAGTCCTGATCACAAGGCCTCGTGTCAGAGGCAGAAAGGAAGTCTTGGAGAGGAGGGACAGGTTGTGAAGTAGTGGGAAACCCTCGAATGTTGTAGAGATATCTTCCATAACAGTCCTCTAATGCTTGGGTGGGTTTTAAAGATAACTGAGATATAGATAAATGGGAACTGTAGGTAGATAAGAGTCAAGCCTGGTGGGGGAATGGAAAAAAACAAGGCTCTGAGCAGGAAAGGGGCAAGATTAATACTGGGCTCCTGAAGTGGGACAGAGAAATGGACCTGGTTGGCACAGCACCTAAAGGGAGCTTTCTCTTTCTTTCCACTCTTAATGATACCGACACGCTTTGAAATGTTTGCTGAGTGACCAGAAGAGGATCGTAATTCGATTGGCAGGAGATCTTGTTCCTTGAGCCTCAGTTTTCCTTTAGAACCAATATTCTAGCTTTGGGATGAGCACTGAGGACCGCTGAGCCTAGTCCACGTGGGCGCTGAGCCCAACGCGAAATCAGGTCAGTGAAGGGTCTAGGGTGCCGGCTCAGACCCACGGCCCCGCCCAGCCTCTCTTTGTTCCTCCTGGCCCCGCCCCCTTCTCCCAGCTTCCTCACCATTGGCTAGAGGGCGGGTTTTTGCTGCTCAGGAGGCGGGGCTATGGAGGAGGGCGGGGCCTATTGCGCCTGCGCAGAGTCCTCCGGCCCCAGCTCGCACCGGCGGTGTCTGGGCTCCGGGTCCCGACTGTGAGATCCCTGAGCTGCGCTGGGCCCCGCCCCGGGCTCCATTGTTGAGGCTGCGGGTGCTCCACGGGCTGCGCTCCTCTCGGCCGTCCAGCGCTCACGAGCCACTGAATCCTGAGGTGAGGCGGCGGCGACTTTGAACCCGGAGCAGGGCCAGGTGTCCCACGATGTCCCCAGGCAAGGTCCCCAAGCTGGATGCCCTGGGCCGGGCAGGGTCTCCAGACAAGGCTGGGCAGGGTCTCCGCAGCCCGGTAGGGTCTTCGAGGCCCTTCGGGGTATTAGGCAGGGCTGACCAGGGATTCTTGACAGAGCAGAGTCTCCGGACAGGGCAGGGTCCCTTTACGGGGCTGGACGGGGTCTCCAGAGCTAAGTTGGGTCCCTGGAGGTCAGAGTCCCCAGGGCCAGGTAGGGTCCCCGAGGCCCTGCAGGGTCCCCAGACAGGGCTGCGCACGGTCAACGGGCAGGGATGGTTTTCCAGAAACTACTCCAAGATCCGGTCATCAGAGACCTAAAGGGTAAACCACATATTTGGACTTGCAGGACAGTTGCTAAGGCTAAACTGGGGTTCCCGGCTCGGTGGTCGGCTGAAGCGGGTCAGAGCGTGTGTTGCTGGGTTGGTAGGCGCTGCCTTCCCCTCCAGAGGGACGGGAACCCCGAGAGGACCGGCCCAGATGGACCCGAGCACTCACGAGTCCGTGCGCCCTGGCATTGTCTCGCCGCCGGCTGGCACAGAGGTCTCTGCGCCTTCAGGTCCTGGTCACCCTACGAGTGGGCTCTTTTCCGGCCCTCCCTCTTGGATGTAGCTGGTTGATTGTCACCAAGAGGGACTTGGGGGCGGGGGGTACTCTTGTGTGAGGGCGCCTTCCTGTTTCCCTATGTGATGTGGATGGCTCCGGAGGTAACTACGTGGACTTAGTGTATGGGGAGGCTTGGCGGGTGGGAAGGCTGTTTCTGTCCCTGTATTGGTACCATTTCGTATGTCAGTGAGAATGACAGCGTGGACACGCGCGAATGGGATCCTGGTCCTGCGTCCCATGGCTTGTCTACCCCGCCTTTTCCCATTCAGTCCCGGCCCCCGTTTTGGGTATGTTTTGGGCACTGGTGTTTGGGTGAGGTGAGCGAAGCCCTGTGCGTGCTGGGAGCAGTTGGCCTAAGATGATGGACCGCCTGCCACCAGCGCTCTTCAGTGTTTTGGTGTTGTCTTTACTCAGTGAGCTGAAGCGGGGAGCAGGCGGGTTTGGGGGGGCTACACGGGCTTTGGAGTAGCCTGCCTGCGAATGTGCCCCTGCGGGTCCTTGGTGAGTGTGGGGCTGTCACTGTGCTAGGAGCTGAGATGGAGTTTCTTACTCCAGCCCTAGGCCTGGCGACCCAGAGGCCGGTGCTGATTGGAGGGAGCAGAGCCTCTCTGCCCCCAGGTTCTTGATTTCTTCCGTTGGGAAGAAAAAAAAAAATCTGGAAAGCCAGAGAGTTGACTTTGTAACTCCCAGCCAGCGCCTGGCAAGTGGAGGAAACTCTCCCAAGAACTTGGCGGGCTGCAGAATGCGTTTGAATCAAGAAAATCCACACCCAGGGAACCAAGCCAAAGCAGTTACAGTTGGAGATCAGATTTATGAAGGCAGCCCTAGGGTGAGGTTCAGGGAGGGGACCTGATGCTGGCCCTCAGGCTGGGTCCTCCTCAGCTACTAACTAATGTGGAAGCCGTTCATTAGTCTCTGCTGCTTTGAGCTTTAAAAAACCCACTTGTCATGTATCAGGGATGATTTGTATGTGTGTGTGTGTGTGTGTGTGTGTGTGTGTGTGTGTAATCAAGGCAGTGTTTTTTTTTGTGGGGAGAGGGCAGGCTGCAGTTGGAACAAGGAGTTTCAACAAGCAACCCACAATTTGTCCTAAAAGAGAGCCTTCCTCTAATAGCAGGGATAGGATACAGAACTGAGCTGGGAGCCATCCTTGTCCTGTTAGAAGATCCACCATTAGTCTCTGCCCTCTCCTTCTTCTGTGCTTACACCAGCTCAGCGCTCGGTGCTGAGCTCTGGCAAGCCTCTGCCTCATCAAACTTTCTCTCTGAGCCTTCCTGTGTTAGTCCTGTCCTTCAGGACTTTATGAACTTCAGGGACATTGTGAGTTTGGGCCAAAAGTACCTATCATAGCTGAAGGAAAAAAAAAAAATCCTGTCCTGAAAGACACAGACCCAGTTTGTACCCAGAGCAGGCAGGAGGTGGGGCCACATGAGAGGGCCTTTGTCTACACAGTGACTCCAGGTATTTTCATGTTGTTTTAAAGCTACGAAGCCTTGACTCTCTAAAGATATTAAAGGATTTGTTTTGTTTTTTTAACCTGTCTGACTGGGTTTGTTTTATGTTGTAGAGTACTCGAACAGAGTTTATTGAGTCTAATTTTGGCCCCAAAGTTGATTTACTGTCCTTCCTGAGTAGTTTCTCCTCTAGGTTTTAGCCTTCTCACCTTTGAAGGTCTTAAACTAGACAATTTTAAGGAACATTCTTGGCTGAACCCTTCATTCTTTTAACCAAATATAGCAGAAGGAAGTTGGCCTATGGCAAAGATATAAAGGAGATATTTGGAAAATGTAGTCTAAAGAGCAAGCTTCTTCCTTGCTTTTCAGGGTCTTTTTACAAAGGTTGAGCCAAGCACTAAGAGATGGCTCATGGTCAAGGTTGCTGGCTGCTCGTGCAGAGGACCTGGGGCTTGAGTCCTACCCCACATGGTCCAGCTCCAGGGCACCCGATGCCATCTCTGGCCTCTGTGGACACTGTGTGCACATGGTATGACAGACACATGGAGGCAAAGCACCCATAGACATTAAGTAAAATAAAATAAAATTTCAAAAGGTTGGGTAATCATCAGTGTATGGGGTAAGTATGTATGATGGAAGCTTGCATTTTTTTGGTGTTGCCTTGCACGCTTTTTGGAAAAATTAAAATTAAAATTCACTTTGGGCCTTTCTAAAGATTTATACCCCCACCAGAGATGTGTGTGTGTGTGTGTGTGTGTGTGTGTATGTGTGCCTGTGTGTGTGTGTGTGCATGCATGTGCATGCATATGTGCACATACACATGGAATGCCTTTGCAGAGATGTGTGTGTGTGTGCCTGTGTGTCTGTGTGTGCATGCATGTGCATGCATATGTGCACATACACATGGAATGCCTTTG